GGCAATCTTCAGACCAGCTACATAGGATCCAAAATCCTGACCTGGGTTGGTTTTAAACCAGCCTCTAGAGTTCTTCAAGGCTATCCTTACTCTTTCCCCATTTGAAACACCTGCTGCCTCTAGGAAAGATAAACAAGTCTCACCTATGAAGAAGTGCCATTTTTCAGAATATGAAACTTACACTGCTTGCTACAATCTCACGAGCGCAGATTCGCTGCATGCATTTCGATGCATCTCATGCTGTCAGACGCTGGAGGGGAGCGTGCCCACCTGACGCCCCAACAGGACCATAAATCCACATCCCTCTGCTCTTCTGTCTAGGTCCAGAGTGAGGTGCTGGCTGTGAGACGCCAGGACCCACTGTTAACACCACCATCCTTTACAATGACTCACCCAGACTGCTGGGGAACACATGTGCCATGTGGCGATGCACTGATGCAAATCTCTCTGGAGACCCAGGACATTCCATGCTGACTTACAAGATCACTTTCTTATAAATTAAAACATATGAATTTAGAAGTGAAAGTGTGAGTTGCTCAGTCGCATCCAACTCTCTGCGACCCCCTGGACTGTAGCCCTCCAGGCTCCTCTGTCCATGGGATTTTCTCCAGGCCAGGATACTGAAGTGGGTTGCCATTCCCTTCTCCAGGGGACCTTCCTGACCCAGGGATCGAACCCACATCTCCAAGTCTCCTGCGCTGCAGGCAGGTTCCTTGCCTGCTGAGACACCGGAAAAGACCCCTTTGCTGGGAAAGAATGAGGGCAGGAGAAGGGGACGACAGAGAAAGACATGGTCGGATGGCATCACCGACTCGATGGACATGAGTTTGAGCAAACTCCAGGAGACAGTGAAGGATGGGGAGGCCTGGTGCGTTGTGGTCCATGGGGTCACAGAGGTGAGCATGACTTAGTGATGGAACAACAATAGTGAATTTAGAAATGAGATAAGATACCAAAAATGCACTCCTGATAATTTCAAGAATTAAATCATTGCATTGATGTGTGGACTTTAAAACAAAAAATACTTAAAATAACTTCAATCTCTGTTTAAAATAGTCCAGCTTTTCTCACGGGTATACCTGTTCTACACTTCTTCCTGTGTCTTAATCACATTACAGTTAGACTGGGTAGAGGAAGGAAGATTTAGTAGTTTGACAGATTTCACAAGTGATATATTTTTTCCAACAGCCTTCTTTTCTCTCTCCAGGACCAATCTAAATCTACGGATCAAAGGACAAGGCCTCTGGACAGTTCCTGGTCTGGTACAGTGACCCCTGCCTCCCGATAAGAGGCAGGTTCACTTTGATGTTCCAAGCCCAGAGCCTTCATCCCTATTTGACCAGCCACCTGTCTCCCAGTGCTCACAGGGTTGGCATCTCAGAGATCCCAAGATTCCCCCCTCATCCAATGCTTCCTCCACCACATGGCCAGTTTCTCTGCCTACTCACTCACCTGTCCATGCAAGGATACTACATGACTTTTTCCTCAAGGAACCCCCACCAAGTGGGAAGTGCCATGGTTACTAAGCCTCGTGGACTTTATTTTTCCAACAATCAAAGCCCACCAACTGCGCTCTGGACCCCCGGAAGCACTCTGCAAACGTGTCACAGACGTGTCAAGGGAGAAGGGAAGGAGGGGAGGGGCGTGGGTGCTGATCAGCGGTAACCAGCGCCTCTGCTTCCTCTAAACTCGACCCCAGATCCCAGCCGCGCACTCGAGCAGCGACACTGTTGTTACTGCAGTTCAGTCGTGCCCGAGTCTGTGCAACCCCGGGGTCTGCAGCCCGCCAGGCGCCTCTGTCCATGGGGTTCTCCAGGCAGCAACACTGACGGGGAGGGGCTTGCTGTGCCCTCCTCCAGGGGATCTTCCTGAGTCACAACATCCCTATTCTTCAGTTATTTCCTTTATTTGCTACTCTCCAAACAAGCAGGATTACAGAATCAACATAAAACAAGGAGACTGGACTACACCTAGGGTTTCCTCCATCTGCCTGTTTTTCCCAAGCTTCGCGTCTCCACGGAAGAACTAGGAAAGCTTCTTTCCAGCCACGGCCACCGAGATGCTCCTGGGGAACCAGCCCGCTGAGTCCAGCACTGTGCTGACCCCCTGAAACCAACCAGAGTTCTCACCACCCGTTGCTGAGCAGACGAACCGGCCTGGAGACATGAGAACTCAGGATGGAAAGGGGTCAAAGTGAACCGGAGGCTTTGGTGTCTGACGACATTTGGAGAGCTCTCCAAATTTTCTATCACTCACTGAAGTAATTAATCATAAATACTTACACGTCTATGTTTAGCTCAACTAAAATATCAAAAGAATGTAATATAAGCATCTTTAAGACTTCAAAGGCTCAGTGACAAACAAAAAAATCTCCATATGTATGCCTGAAACTCAGTTTATCTACTGTATTATAATCTGCAGGCCAAAGTGTGCTCTCCAAAAATGTGGATTCCACGGAGACATAAATGAATGAATGAATGAATGAATAAAGTATGTCTTCATTGCTCCTCTACTAAGTTATCTCCTAAACTTCATCTACTTATAACCTTCCATCTATCAATACTTCCTGTTAAGGTACTTCTCTGGTAAGAAAGGGCTGTTCCACAGGTTATATTTCTCAGGTGTCCCCATATATATAAACCACTGTATTCAGAACTCAAGATGAAAATGAGTAAAAATAAACTAGCGGTTTCTATGTCTGAAGAAATTTCCCAAAGTTTCCACAACTTCTCTGCCTCCCAAGACTAAATTACAGGTGCCTCTCAGTAGGCATGTTAATACCAAAACTCTGCTGACGATGTCGGTGCAGGAAAAAAAAAATAACTTAAAATCTAACACTGATAATTCAACCCTGGAAATGAAATGCAGGCAGTGGGAAACAGGTCCAATTATGGGAGATGCAAAAATGAGTTATCATTTGAACATTTCCAAGTTATTATTGTTCATTACACCTCAGGAAGAATCTGTATCTCATTTCATAATCACAAGGATGATAAACCTATTTGGGACTGAGGTACAAAATGTAGAATTTTTTAAAAATGTATAATCTTATTAATATTGTACCTACTCTACTATGATCCAGAAAATGAACTCAGCATTCTAGGAACAAACATGTCATCTGCCTAAATGTCTATTTAAATGCCTATTTTCCCCTCATAACTTGTTAGAGTGCATCTTATTTATATTTATTCTCTAATGCAAATTTCAAAAAAAAAATTGTATAGTGTGATAAATATGTCTTAATACTGTAAAGGGTGCCTGCCCATGTCAACCTCAGGGAGATATAGATATATGCAGATAATACAGATTTTCTGACATAATTACAACATTTTTAGAAAGTTGAGGACTCATAAACAATAAAAGTCTATCCTGAGTTTATCCAAGTTTTGAGACTTCTCTGTGGCTTGGGAAATGGGTTTGTAAATCTGCTAAGCTTTCCATGAATTTCAATGAATTAAAAATACTGCAAATACAACCTCTCTATGCATTATATTTGTATTGAAACTCAGGTTTGGGTGAGTCATGCGTGAAACAGAGGAAAAAAAATGGGAGTTATGAATCAAATGAGAATACTGTCTTTTAGAAGTCAAACTTCTGATACATTAATTTATCTCTACTTTTCTAATAATCCCTGTCTTTATTCATTCACTTAGTAAATAAACATAAAGGTAAGACTTACATCATAAATTTGCACTTTGACACAGTAGCTGTATTCCCACTGAAAGGGAAATAAAGAGTTTTCCGAGGTTTATGTTTTCCTACGTGTGCAGTCAAAAATCCAGACTTTGTGTCAGTTTTCCAATTGTATAATCTAAGTCTCTATAAGATTTAAATGGCAAATGGAAATTTCCTAAAAGTTCTTACATGCAGCTGGACTTAAATACATTAAGTTTTCAATGTCAGCTTCAGCAGAACAGCCAATAATTGTATACAAGACGCATTTGGTAGTCTTAGCCTACTAGTACTATTCTGTGAATCGTCTTCATATTTAAAGAGAAATCACAAAGTAACTGGTAGTAAGAAATAATGACAAAATCCAAAGTCCCCACCACATCCAAGATTACAGTTTACCTGCTTAAATGCAGGTAACACTACACTGACCCTCAAGTCACAGACCACATATGGAACGTGCCGATCAATGCTCAGGCTCTTTTTCATGTGTATGTTTTAGTGAGAATTTTAGTATGCCTTTGTCCTTGGAATCTGCTGAGGTGTCTGCATGTGTTTAAGAACTTTCCCATTAATACACAGCCATGCTAATGTTTTCTGGGGACCCTCTAGTAGGAGTGGCTCTCAGGAGTTTGGTGAAGTCTGCACGGACAAGAAAGAGCCTCAGGACGAGGCATTCAAAGACCAGCAGACATGTAAACCCTCCTGGATGCGATTTCGCTTCCTGTGGCCTGACCTGCCCAAGGTCATTATTAGTGTCGAGAATACTAACAAAGCTTTCCATTGACAAGGTGCCAGGGGAATCTATCATTTTTAGATGATCAAACAGCCCCGAAAAGCTACTGCTTAAAGATGACTGAGGCCAGGAGTCAAAAGGGTTACCATAGAGATGCTTCATCAAATAACCCCCAAAGCAAGGAAGGAGACAGGAGGGGTGACCGAGCTGAAACAAAGCATCCGATCGGGTCTAGAGAGGCATGGGCGTCTCAACGAACTGCGGGGCTTCAGATATGCTCGAACTGTCTTCTTCCCAGACTTACACTTTTTTTTAATACTTCTTGGTGCTCAAAAGGCCATGTATGCCTTCAGCCCAGAGAGAAGGCATTTGCGTCTCTATGCACAAGACATGATTGATTAATTCACCCGGGGGGTGGGGGGGTGTGTGGGGGGGCTCAAAACCCTTAAAAATAGTCTGCGAAATCCTGGAAGTAGAATCACCCCACTAAAATGAAAGGTTTTAGTGACTCTGGACTTGGAAGCATCTTTAAGAGTGCGCCTGGTCAAGTCGCCCCGGTGGGAAGGACACATGATCAGGTGACCATCACACCTACCTGCCGGGCTCCTCGTCACCGTGGAGGCAACAGTTCGCCGCGTTCACCAGAAAGCTGAACAGACGACCGTACAGAGACTTGGCCAGGAGATCCCGGTAAAACTCGGCCATCGCCACGGTGTGCCGTCGTGTGAGCACCTCTCCTGGGAGGGCGAGGAGGGGAGGGTCAGTGAGCACGGGGCCGTCCCTGATCAGAAGCCAACAGCGCTGGGCTGTTTACCCCGCCACACCCGCACGCGGCAGAAGGTGCGACCAACGCACCACGACTCTGACAAATGCAGCCTCTGCCAGCTATTACAAAAACACACAGCGGTGACTTTGAGAAAAAGAAAAAAAATTCCAACGGAGGAGGAGTCCTCAAAACCACAGTCCAGAGGCAGGCTGGTGAGGCAACGAGCTCCAGTGAGTGAGAGAGGGACGTCCAGGGAAGCCCCTCTCTGCACGCTGCGTGCAGACGGACACCGCAGAGACCATCTCGGGGGGCGGACGGTGTGTGCGCGTGTACACCCATCAAGTCACGTCCGACTTTCTGCGTGCAACCCCACGGACTGCCGCCTGCCAGGCTCCTCTGTCCATGGGATTTCCCAGGCAAAGATACTCGAGTGGGTTGCCATTTCCTCCTCCAGGGGATCTTCCCGACCCAGGGATCGAATCTGCATCTCTGGTATCTTCCACCTGGGCAGGCAGGCTCTTCCCCACGGAGCCGCTCGGGAAGCCCATGAACTTGGATGGCATCAGAGTCTAATTCCAAGCACGCCATTTATTAGGGAGTCGATGCTCAAGTTTATCTAGCCTCTTTGAATCTTAGTTTTCTCATTCACTCAAGTGGAAAGGGGAGGGGATGGTTGGATGGCATCACCGACTGGATGGACATGAGTTTGAGCAAACCCTGGGAGCTGGTGATTGACAGGGAGGCCTGGCGTGCTGCAGTCCATGGGGTCGCAAAGAGTCAGACACGACTGAGCAATGGAACTGAAAATGGGAAGAGTTAAATCCATGCCTTAGCAAAATGTGTGCCAACTAAAAACTCCAGTGCTCACAGCACCTGCTACAGCTCCCCTGAGTTCACAAGTGCCCAGGAGGCAGCAGCTCTTATTCCGGCTGATGAAGCGGAGGGAAAACGGTGCTCGCCAAGGAGGAGGGCAGGCTGCTGCCACATACACAGACACAGCCGATGGTTCAACTGAACAAATCCTCTTGGATTGACGACTTTGTCTAAAATGACCCATTACCTAAAAAAAGGTGACCGGCTCACCAGAACGGTCTCTCAAGAGCATACAGATGTTCACCAAGGTGGAAGGCAAAGTACAGAAAAACTTACCCTTAAAATACTGGATGTCAGTGGTTAAAGCAGAGGCCAGCTCATCCGAAGATACCTGTAGCATTCCAGCCACTAAAATTAAAGCGGTAATGAAAGCATCAAGTTACACACATGTTGACAGTGAGAACGTGGCACTTAGAGTTGAGAAGTGTGTACAGACCCATTAGGGTAGTGTCTATTAAAGACACTGAACTATCACTGCAACTGACAAAGTCAACTAGAGAAACAGCTTGATTAAAACGCTGCGGAGTTCCCGGGCCCTCAGCATTAAGCTGCTGCAGGATTTTCCCCTCCTCACCCTTACTAACAGCCCAAGATGCTTTTTCCCCCCAATTCCTGGCTAAATCACTTAGATATGGGGTGAAGATAACAGTGGTCACCACCATCATGATTATCTGGTTTTAAGGTTATTTTGAAGAAGGAAAAAAAAAAGCTGGGGGTGACTAACAAGGCCACTTCAAAGGAGAGAGGTTTTTGGCAAGATCTTTAAAGGGAAGCAATTATGTTCTGTTTAAATGTTTAGTTAATAATATGCCCTCCATAGCGGGTGGAGGGGTGGGGCGGAGAATGCGCAGAACGATGTAAATAAGCCCGATCACGTGCCAAAGCATCAACACGGTTACTGAGGCAGGCAGCGTGGGGACATCGACCTGCCTCTTATTAACTCACATGACCAGAAAGACAAAAGAAGAAAGAGGATCTGGGTTTGTTTTCCCCACCGCCTGCCCTGAATCCCACTCCCGCAGAAAGTGGGCGCGATTCCCCCTGGCTTTTCTGTACTGTGTCTCCATCTACTGGCCAGCCTGCAGAACTGCACGCCAAGGCATCGCTGGTCCAGGAGTCCACTGACCTTGCTCCAGGAGCTGGAGGTCAGACACCAGCGCGGAGTCGGCGTCGGAGAGAGCGGTGAAGCCGACGTCGCCGAGGTGTAACAGGGCTGCTAGAATCACGCACAGGTTCTCCACCTCCTACGCGGGCGGCCAACACAGAAGGAAAAGAGTGCTGCTTAGGAAAGAAAGATGCCGAGGCCGGTCCTTTGAAAAACCTCCAAGTAGGTTAAAAAAAAAAAGATGCGCGGCTGTGATTGTTTTCAGACTGAGAATGTCCCATAAGGGAACCACCGAGCAATGGTAAAAATGGGCACATCCCCTTCAGAGCAAGCAATGGTAACCTTAAAAATTCCCAATAAATTCCTGGTTTCCTAATTGGTATTTTGGGCAGGAAAAGCTCCTGCCGGAGAGAGTTTTTTCTAAGAACAATTCTCATTTGCTTTATAGGCATAGACTTGACACAGTGTGGTCCCTGGGCCATCCGTGAATTTCCTCCTGAACTTCCAGTTTTCATGACAAGGCACAGTTTTATTATTAATGGCTGTAAAATGAGCGCATTGAAAAGGATAACCTGTCATTTTCAGGTATAATCCTCTATGACTGCAGCATTACTTAGACATGTTTTTGGTAGCCTCCAAATCACAAATTAGGGCCTCAGATTTTATTGATCTGTGCCTGTCTGAGTAACATTTTCCAAGCTCCTGAGCTACCCGATATCTCCCTCTCCCGTTTTTTAAATAAATCCAGGATGACAGCTCCCTCTCCCGTTTATAAATAAATCCAGTAACTCCTCATTAAATTTCCCAGTGCCCCGAGAGAGAGACACGCTCCTGGCCACAGACATGAAGACTGTCCAATCATCAAGGTTCTTGCAGTTCTGTACCGTGATGGAGACAGAACGGTGAAAAGCCTCCTAAGGTAAGTGACAGTGTGGTGATACTAACAAGCTGCCCTGCGAGCAGGGGGCGGCGGCTGCTCTGTGTCCGCCTGCGGTGAGCAAGCCCCCTGTCGTCTGGCCAGTGATGGAGGGCTGGGGGCAGGGGGGCGGTCATCTTCATGGTCAGGTCTCCCGCAACCACACTCACGAGCTCTGACCCAAGGGCCCTGCCAGCCCAGACGTACCTTCCTCTCAGTCTAAGGGGACTTGATCTTTCCCTGCTGGTGGACTAAATCTGTCACCATCTCAGTCACACCTGAGGATCAAGATGATCACCTTTCGGTCTTGGTTTAAATCGCACGTATCTCTTTAACCGAAACGCTTGTTAGATGCCCTATTTGGCCCCTTATGTGGAAGACGTATCCTGTGTGCGCTGCCTTTGAGGATCAGTCATGGGTTTCTACAGCCCCGTTTCCAAGGAGCTGATATTTGGTGGCATGATTCCTTACCCACCTCTCTATGCCAGTTTCCCATAAGTGAGTAGAGAGTTTAGACATAAACGGAGGAAGGGAAAAGTAGAACAGCCCCAAAAAAACCAACAGTAGCAAATGCAAAGCCTGAGAAGTAGAGTGGTAGGAGTTAGGGAAAGAAGAAACACAGAGATTGGACAAGCCGAGCAACAAAGAACAGAATGCCGTATGACTCACGTTCCTAGAATCCCAGTCCCTGAATGGGTGAGGCTGGCGTGGGGCCAGGTGCCCAGAGCTATTCACTGCGGGTGAGTCCCCACCTCCTCTGTCCTCCTTTGCTGTCACCCTACAGCCCCTTCCACCCCTGCTGCCCCATGAGCCAAGGGGAAAGACAGGGACCCAAATCGATCAACGCATATTGGGTTTAAGATTAAAAAAATTCAATCTGTGACTAAATCTTGGCTCATGAACTACAGGCATACCAGTTACCCATGCAATCTTATGTTGATTGCTAATGAGAAACTGGCTGTCATTTAAAGTGACCGCATAATGAATGTCGGGGACACAGAGATGATGCATAAGAAAAGGAGATTTGTGGGAATTTCCAAGGTCTTGGAGGCTCAGTGGTAAAGAGTCTGCCTGCCAATGCAGGAGACATGGGTTTGATCCCTGGGTCGGGAAAGTCCCCTGGAGGAGGAAATGGCAACCCACTCCAGGTTTCTTGCCTGGAGAATCCCATGGACAGGAGCCTGGGGGGCTATGGTCCACGGGGTCACAAAGAGTTGGACACAACTGAAATGGCTGAGTACACTTCACATCTCTTGTTCTCTAGACCTGTGTTATTCGATTCAGTAAACACTAACCTCACAAGACAATCTCAGTTTAAGCTGATCAGAATTTTTAAAAAACGTTTTAAAAAAGTTAAAAATCCACATCCTCAGTCTCACTAGCTTCCTCTCCCACACCCGGCAACCCCAAGTGGCCAGTGACTGCCCAACTGTACACTACAACCGAGAACATTTCTGGGATTATGGAAATTTCCATTGCATTGCAGCGGGTTTAAGCACTTTACATAGTACATTTCAGCTTTGGAGGTATTTGATAATTCTTTAAGAATTAAAAAAAAAAAGCATAGCATTCAAGAAGATAGTTTAATGGAATGATTAGATTACTGTCCCGAGTGGTACTTGGCAGCAGACAGTCCCTTCCATCTGCCATTTTTCTCTTGAGTTAGCCAGTGCCAAGTTCTTATCTGTTTTGCTCACGTGGTCCCTGTCGGAAAAGGTCTCCACCGCCTTCTTGAAGACGGCAGCCCATCTTCATGGTACCCTGTGGCCCTGGGCATAATGTTTGTTCACAGCTCTCTCCCATCAGCATGCAAGCTCCAGGAGGCAGAGGAATGTTTTTGAATGAATAACTTTTACAAACTAGCAGAGGGTTGATTTCCTCAGTGGAATATTTAACCGCATGACTCACCAAGTTACTGAAGCCAATTACACTCAGGGCTTGTTTCAAAACAGCAAATTTCTCCCTGTTCAGAGAACGCTCTGCTGTTGATGTATCTTCTCTAAGGGTCTGGTGCAAATACCTGTGAGAAGGAAAAGCAGGCAGGTTTATGGCTTGGCTTGTCAACAAACCCCAGCGGCGAAAAGTCGCTTCAGCCACGTCTGGTCTCCCGAATAATGGAAATCACCTGGACATTGTGTCCCTGTGTTATTTATAAGGCTTTGGTCCGTAAGAGCACGTGCTGTTTCCGGAAGGAAGGAAGAAAGGTTCTTGTTGTACCAGAACATATTTACACTGTTTTCCTTGGTTCTCACTTGAGTGGTTCCCCTCCTCAGAGAAGGTCAAGAGTGCTTTGTGTATTTCATACAGAAATCTAGCAGATTCTATCGCATGCTTTGTAATTCGTATTTGTAGCCAAGATTTTAAGTTGAAAGCAATCTACGATTTCTTCTCGTCAATATCTTTTAATTACGAGGTGGATGATTAATTCATTGATTTATTCCTTTCATTAAAAAAGCGCAAAAAGGAAAAGAGAAGTTGAAAGTGTTAGTTGCTCAGTCATGTCTGACTCTTTGCGACCCCAGGGACTGTAGCCTGCCAGGCCCCTCTGTCCATGGGATGCTCCAGGCAAGAATTCTGGACTGGGTTGCCATTCCCTTCTCCAGGGGATCTTCCTAACCTGGATCTCCTGCATTGCAGGCAGATTCTTGACCGACTGAGTTACGAGGGAGGCCTGGGAAGAGATGAGGCAAAGAAATGAGCCAGCAGGTCTAGTGAGAGACCAGCAGTGAGGAGAAGTGGAGGAGATAGAAAGGCAAGCAGGCGAGAGGAGGGGCTGGCTGTTCGCGGGCAGGGAGAAAAGAGAGGCGTCAATAACGTAAGTTTCCGTCTGGGGAAGCGGGGTGGCGGGGGGCTCATTCAATCAGGGGGGCTTCTCAAGAGGAGGAGCGTGTTCTTGAGAGAGAAAGACATAGTTTATCATAGTTGTGTTTGCTCCCTTTGAACTACCTGCTAGAAGCTCATGTGGTGTTCCAAGAAATAATCGGCTATAAGGATCTGAAATTCAGAGAAGTCCAGAAAATAAGCCCTGGAAGTCATCAACACCCAGATGACTAAAATCACGGGAGTGGATGAGTGCCCTGGAAAGAAGGCGCCCACGCTTTACAGATGAAGACAGAGCTGATGGAGACGGGGCCGTAGGGGCAAGGGGCGGGGGTGAGAGCAGGCAGGTACAGACTCTGTCGGTGTGGACGAGGGGTCTGAAAGGACTCCTGTGTCCTTGACCGTGGCGGGGATGGGGGGTCAAAGTGAAACAGCCCACAGGATGGGGCAGGAAGTGGGGAGACCTCAGGAGGCTTGTACGGTGAGGCAGAAGCACGCACAGACCGGAGAAGACGGAAAGACAGGGAGGAGGCGTTGGAGGAGGAGGGAGAGGGTCTGGCCTCGAGGCCCCTCGGCCCAGTGCAAGGACGCTCCCTTCCCACGTTCGGTCGGGCGGTGGATATGGTCCGGGGGGCGGACGTCTCAAGGAGTGGAGGGACCCCTGCTCGTGGCCTCAGTGTCCCCAGGAGGGAACGTGGTCGAGGTTCAGAGGATGAGGTGAGGCGGACTTGGGGAGTGGATTGAGACTCTAGGCCGCCGGCTGCGGACAAGGGACACTGTGGTCAAGCAGAGGGCTTCCCAGGAGGCGTTGGTGGTAAAGAACCCACCTGCTGATGCAGGAGACACAGGAGACGCGGGTTCCATCCCTGGGTCGGGAAGATCCCCTGGAGGAGGAAATGGCAACCCACTCCAGTGTTCCTGCCTGGAGACTCCCCGGGACAGAGGAGCCTGGTGGGCTACAGTCTGTGGGGTCACAGAGAGTCAGATATGACCGAGACTCAGCACGCACGGAGCCAAGCTGGGCGACACGGGAGGCTTAGTGAAGTGGCTGAGGACCCCGGGGAGCTCTGGCCAGCTCCAGCCGGGCTCTCTCTTTCCCCGAGGACAGGCGAGCTGGGGGGTGGGGCTTTGGACCAAAAGGAAGAGGTCACGGGCAACCATGCCAGCAAGGGGTTGGGTTAGGATGGTCAGAGCCACCTGGCTTAAAATTCACAAAAGTCTAGTGACTAAAAGGTCCTAATGATAAGAAGTTGTAACCCATCTTAATTCTCCCTGTTCTTACGGAAGCTTTCTATTCATCTTTGCTGGTGTCATCTTTTCTTTTCCGCTGGTAACGTAGGATAGAATTCCATTCAGAGTGGTTACTTGACATCTTGTAAAGAACAATTAGCTCTCATTAACATTACAGAGTCAAATAAGCAAAACACCACTGTTCCTTTCCACATTCTTTCCAGTTAATCAGTTAATAAACTCCACCTGTGGAGAATTCAAACATTTCTTTAGACCTCAGCATCTCCCACTCTGTGTGTCTTTATGGTGGGAATTTACGGCAGCTCTGACCTACTCCGTGAAGCAGTTAAATTCTGGGCAGAAGGAACCATTGGAGTTAATCTGGGCAATTTAGGGCTATTAAGTCTGTAATGGCTCACAAGAAACCCAATCCAAACTGGGGGTTTTCCAGGGCAGTTGACCTGATGGCAGGAGTGACGCTTGAAGACTGTTTGCATTTTCCTCAATAATCAGAAAACTTGTTGGTATGAGGACCATGCAAAAAAACAAAAAACTCGACCTCAATGTCTTCTATACAAACTTTACAATCCTCCTACTTTTCAGTAAGGCCTGGGTTGATTTCACTAGAAATATATAGGTCTTAACAGCCAAACTCTAATGAAAATGGAAAGGTTAGTATCAGGGAAAAAAAATTAAAAGTCTACTTTTTAGACATTAAAAGTACTTTTTTCCCCTTTGAAATCATTTACTAATGAAACCACAGGACAGGACTTTGAGCAAGCTCCAAGAGATGGTGAAGGACAGGGAAGCCTGGTGTGCCGCAGTCCATGGGGTCACAAAAGGGTCGTCAAGACTGAGCAAGTGAACAACAATATCACACAGGACAGAAAAATCCTAGAAAAATATGCCTGGTAAAACCCTACAACCAAGAGCACAGCAGAGCTCTGTCTGACCCTTTCTGATGACATTTTAAACCTTTACTATCTATAAAATGGAATAAAAGTAGGTTAAATGTGAAATAAAAAAATTCTTCATTTCTCCTTCATGATGACTTTATGTTAATTAAATAAGACACTATGTGTGATATGCTTTCTAGACTCAGATTGCAATGTACACATAGAATAGGAGTATTTCCTGGAAGAAACGTATCTTGCATATGTGGAAAGCTTTACTCAGCATGCTTGGTCATTAATGAATCTCTTTAATCAGATATATAACTAAGTCAAACAAAATAAGGAACATTTTCAGAAATTACAACACATGCTACTAACCATGTAGAATATTTTAAACTGTAAAATATACTTGTCTGTTCTTCTCTGATAGATAAAAGTAATAAACAGCTAAAAAGATCATAATTCTCACTTCTGGATTATTTTCTCCCAGTGTGAATCACTTGAAGGTTAACAGTCACACGTGTGTTTCCATGTGGTTTTAACACTTGAAAAGAGGTCAGAATGACTGTGGGCCACGGTTTATTGAGGTCTCTGGAGACTAGCCATGCTCCATTGATGCTTTCCCCCTAATCTCAACACCGTGGCTGAGACCCACCCGGACGAATCTGTGCTTATCGTCACAGATGATAAGTGTTTCATCTGACAGCTTCGGACTCTGTCCCCTATTCATTGACGGTCCCGCACGTGCCAAGAGCGTTTGTCAGCAACTGAACGGCAACAGCCACAAGGGCCTTCGCCATCTGCCTCTGCGGAGACCCTGCCCTGTGCCGCGGCCGCCGCGGGGAGCTCAGCGTGGAGACCGAGGCATCTGTGCTCCAGGGAAACCGGTGGGACACAACCTCAGATGGACAGACCTGTTCAGGAACCGATTTCGTGATCCCAATCCTTGCACCTCCACAGATGTTGAAGAGCAATGAATCCCTTTGTGGTGCCATCAGCTCCTAGTGACTAGCAGAAAAGTTTTTGTAAAGTAGGCGCTTGATTGCATCAAGCTGCCCCTTCACCAAAATCTTACACGAGGACCTTCCCCAGCGCCCCTCGGCAGCAGCCCCTCAGAGCGAGCTGTGGCGCCGTCTCCCAGGATGCAGTCCTCGTTTTCGCCAAATAATGACCCTCAGCTTTCACGTTGTGCATCGTTTTTAGCTGACACACAACTCCCGGTATTCAGATCTTAGAAGATCAATCTTCACGGTCTTTCATGGCATCTTTCATGTCTTGAAAACCATGTACTTTTAGCTCAGACAGTCTGCTTTTATCATCTCCTCTTAACTCATACAGAACACGGAATGGTAGCATTTGGCAACACGGAGATGTGGCCAGAGACAGAAGCATCAGTGACATGTCATTTGTGGAAGCAGGGATCGCTGCTGTTTTGTTTTCAAAAGCTCGACAGATCAGGGGACGCTCCAGGTTGTTCTGCCACAGAGCAGAAGACGGTAACATGGAGGCTGGACCATGTTAAAAACAGTAGGTGGGTTGATAACTGTTTGATTAATTGGACTCTAAAGGAAAGGCGGTGAGAACTGAAAACAGGTGTCAAACACTTCACTGGAGGTTCCAGAAGCACGTCCATTCATCTTCATATCAATCCTGAAAAGCAGAGCTATCGTTGTGCCCATCTGTGATACACGGGAACGCAAGCGCGTTTAAGGTTTCCAAGCCAGCACCTGGCCGACAGACAGCACCCTCTCTGCTGACCCCTCTGTGCCTCTCGGCTCTCCTGCGAGGGGCTGGAGGAGAGGAGAGGCTGAACGGCCCCACGAGGCACCTCCCTCCAGTTACGATTTGGCTTAAAACTGTGGGGGAAGGAAAATGAGACGTGGAGTTATTATTACACACGGATGTGTTTTAAACAGAATGCAAAGTCCCACGGGGTTTTCAGACTCCCCAGGATAGTTTGTGATTATTTGGTTCTGTCTCAGCTCCATACGTGTGTTACAGGCACAAGATGGGGTAGCTGGTGACTGAACAGGACCCCGTGGGCCCTTCCAGGGTCAGACGCCCCTGAATCCCCCCG